CTCGAGGCAACATTCAAGCTGTTACACATCCAACCTTGGGCCTTTTTTTTGTCATTTTATTTGAAATCCCAAAGTAAAATAGCAGAATGTTTAGTTTTGGAACAGTTGAACATTAGTCATCTGACCTCCAAGTGATATCAATGGCAAACTATGCAGTTTTAGTTGGTTAGACTCCAGCAGTAACCCCAACGCACACTCTGGGGTCCCCAAGCCTTGGATCTTGCTGACCTGTGCCTAATACTTACTGGAATTAGGTAAACAGGATGTGTCCCTCTAGGGAGAGAGAGAGAGAGAGAGCATTCCATTCCACAACAATCTATCTCTGAGATTTCCATGTGTAGGTTTGGAGACTCTTCGTCATGGTGATGGGTTTCCTCACGTGTAAGACACCCAGCTGACCAAATAAAAATCATTGGACCTCCTGTGATAGGTGTTATGTGTTGGTCAGGATGCACTAGGCTCAGGTAATGTGCTTTCTGAGAGCCCTGCAAAGGAACAGTGTGATGTTCTTTCACCTTTAAAATACAACGTTTGGATCCAGCTAGGGCTTGACGCACTCAAATTTCCTGCTTCATGAAGGATCCTACAATGAAATGGATTTGACAGTTTCAGAACTGTTCCAGGTAGAAATAAGTCGACTCCAGAGAACTGCCCATTATTCCCTACAAACTAGGAAATCTCATACAGAAAGGTCACAGGGATTTCTAGTGTGGGAAACAGAATAACATGGACTCTACTGTTTTTAGGTTGAAGGGCAGAGTTGGGCAGAATAGAGAGCTTGACTGGCCTTGGATTCCTCTATTACCACCAGCTGTGTTTGATCTTGATTCGGGTGCCAACAATGAAAAATTAGATTACATTCCTCGGCAATGACCTTAAGTGTGTTTTTTTCCCCTCCAATGTTGTCTCTTTCGTATCTTTCCTCATGAACGCATTGACTCATGAGGTTGCACAGCCATTCCTTACCTCTCCCAAGTGGCCAATGATCTTTTGGGAACCTCAAATGTAAATGTCAGCAGTTTATCTGACTGCAAAGAAGGGCATTGTGTCCGTACCTAATCCAACTCTAAATACTAAGATCAACGAGAATCAGTTGTTAATATTTTGCACTTGCCTCTATGATTATGGAAATAAACTGTTCTGCTGATAAAATGACATGATATTTTGAAATAAAAGTCAGTTCAGAAAGATTCATAAAATGCACATTGTATTAACAAAGCTTTCTATATATTTTAACTTATCGTAGACTACTTTGAAATATGTTATTCTATTCTATGCAAGCACTAAAAGAACCAATAGGTTCATCTTTTCTCTAATATTTCAATGCATATAATCTGCCACTCGAATGTAAGCGAGACATTAAGGCAAAAGTTTTTTTAAAGTTATTAAATGGCTAAAATTAATTTTGTTCTAAATCTAGTTTTCTATATCCTGCTTTAGTTGTAAAGTCTGCTTTTGTTCTTCCTATTGAAATAATTCATGGTGAAGGATTGCAATTTAGGGTTTCTTTTTACTATTCCAAATTCTTTGCGTTGTTTTGTTTGAGATGATAGATACGGTGTTTCTGATTGCATTGTCTAAAAAAGGGTTTAGGATATATTTCACAACTGAAATATAGATTGGATGGAATAGAGTAATACACAGCTTGCTAACCTTTATTTGAAATTGTGCTTAGAGATATATAACTTTTTTAAAGTCATAACCAGCCTGGCCACAAATGAGACATGCAGTGCTAAGGGGGGTGTTGCATTGCCAGAGATGCCGTCCTTCAGGTGAAACCTTAAACCAAGGTCCCGTCTGCCTGTTCAGGTGGGCGGTAAAGATTCCAGGGCACTAGTCGAAAAGAAAAGGAAGCTTCTTCGGGTGCCCGAGCCAAAAATTCACTCCATGGCTGTTACAGTAACCTCACACGCTATCCCATTTTGTCTCTCTTCATCTCGGTCGTGACTGTAATCTGTCAGAAACATTTCCGGTTTGAGAAAAGTTTCTTCTCAATACTTGCATCCCCCTTTGAGTTTCCAGGTATAGGGGAGGTAGATCTCCTTGCTATTAGTGTCACTTATTTTTAATCTTTTTTTTTCCTTGTACCGTTCTCATTTCCTTCACTGTTTCCAGTGTATCTAACATGAGTTGGTAGCCAGCGAACACGATCTTGGGATGTAAAAGGATGTTCTAGCAAGTGTTACTGAACCTGTGTACAGCACTCATTCAGTCCCACCAGTACTGTGTGGTAAAGATAAGGATACAGAAGCTGAATATGCTTACACTGGAGAAGTAAAAGCTCAAGGAAAATCTCAGTGAAGTATTCCAGGTGTACATAAACCGAGCACTAACCATATGTTTCACGTATTTGCAAACTCAAGGGGATACAGACTTGAGCTCAGGAGAGGGAAGGAATGTAAATAAGGCAGTTTGGATTTTTTTTTGCTGGTCAGCTGAGTATCAGAAGCCCATCACAAGAGTGTTCACGTTGAGGGCTCCTCACATGAACTGCTTTGTTTATCTGGTTTGGGTGTATTGCGAGCACTATCTCCCCCCTGAGGAACACACTCTACTTATCTAATTCCAGAGAATTTAGGTGCAAGTTGGCAACGACAACAAATTAGATTTGTGTAGTGCCTTTAATGTCAAGAGGCTGTCCCAAAGTGTTGGACAGTCAAGGATGTGCACCCGAGCTGGCGGTTGGGATCAGGAGGGGTGGAGGGCAGGGAGGGTGGGGGTAGGAGGGTGACCGAAACTGCGGTCGAAGAGGAGGGTCCTGAGATAGGTCTTGAGGGAGGCAAGGCACGTCTCAAGGCTTCGGGAACTTAAAGGTATATTTGTCAACAACTGAAGTTTAAACAGCTAAAACTGCAAAACCAACCATTGGAAAGCAGTAGTAAGCCTACTGCTACTTGTCCAGCTCGGATTACTTTACCTGTTAGAGCTTTGTCTTGCAGGGTTATCTGTAGTCAAGGAGAAAATCCCAGGCCTTCTAGTCCATCACCAATGTTGCCCTAGAGCGCTGTGAACCTGCTAGATTGAGAGATTGGATCACAGAGTATGCTGCAGAGGATTGACTACTGTAATCTACAATTGCTTGGGGATGAGGATAGGGTTGGGGGGGGTGGGGTGTGAGATATCACTTTGGAGCCAATTGAGTCTTAAAGAGACACCGTTTACCTCTCTTCTCCCCCTTCCCTTTTTCAGGAGAATAGTCTCTAGTTGGTCATTAGTTTAGATTTGGTCACTTGACACAGAGAGTGTTCAATATGTGGAATGGCTAACCCACAAGGTAACAATGTCAGCAAGTTCAAGCAGGGAATTGGATAGTGATCTAACAAATAAATTGATCAGTGACATGTCGGTACGTGGTTTTCATAATCCTTAATTATTAAGGATTAAGCATTTGTCACATTCACCATCGCATTACTGCCATCTGCTTGCCTCTGGGGAATGCATTTGAAACATTAATTTTTTTATGTGTAATTTTTTTTCCCTTTTGCCACCTTTTTCTGTGTGTTACATTCTGTTCCTTTCACGATCGACTCGCTTGAGAGTTGTGACAGTACTGGTGCGTCACAATACTAAATATAACCAATCATTACCCCTGGAAGAGAGATGTAATTCAGCTTATTTATCTAAATATGCTTCAAGATGTTCAAAATGCGAAAAGGTGCATAGTATAGAGTTTACCTGTATTTTAGAACTCTGATGGAAATTCAGCAGAAAAGGGAAATTGTTTCAAAACCATTAGAGCATTTTGTTTAAAAGTACACAAATCAATATATTTGTGTATTGATTGTATATTTTGCCCCAAAAATATTGTCAATTCACTTTACAGTATATTCTGTGAAGTGCTTTGAGATGTCTCGACGATGTGATAAGGTGCTATATCAAATGCAAGGATTATTATTATTATATGTGAAGTACTGTATATATAAATAGATTTGAAATATAACTAGTAAAGCCCTGTTAGCATTTTGAATATGAAATGTTTTTCCCACCTTGGTTTGTAGATTAAGATTCTGGTTGTTGCTAGAATGAGTTTTTACATTTGAACCATGTTATCCTGAAGCAAAGCTTTTCTCCTTGTCATGTGAGGTTGGGACAGAATTGGTATTGATAATAACGAGAGAGGGAGCCTGACCTTTTTGCTCATCCTTCCTGCTGAAGGCAGCTACATGGAAGCAAGTGAAAACAAGGTGGGGGCAGGAATAATTCTAACTTTATTCAAGTGATACTTTTCCAGAAGTGTCAAAACACACATTGCTGTAATTGGAGTCTTAGCAGGTTTGAGGGCAACCAAAATGCTATATGCTGGGTGGGGAATCTCAAGCCTTGAAGCTTCCCACTGTTTATATGCACCTCTTTTTCGGAAGTAATTTTCAGATTTCTCATGACAATCCTCAGAGGGAAATATCAGTTTTTAAAGGAACGGCAGAAGTAAACTGGAAGTTGAAGCCTGAATGGATATAAATGCTGGTTGTAATTGTGTAGATAAGAGTGCAATAAAAACGGAAAAGCTGTCAGGTCGCCAGCGACACCAGTGATTTTTATGTGTTTTACATGTTTATGCAGGCACTGTGAAGCTCCTCTCTGTGGTTGTCAGTACTTTAGATCTTCTTCACTGTTTGAGCCATTGTTAAGACTCATCATGTCTCTCATCAGCTCCATAGTGACTAATGTGGTACCAGATCCTCTCTGTCATTAAACGCTTATTATTTTCCTGACAACTGCATCGGGGAAAAAAAAAGGAAACGTGGGCTGAGTTCTCTGATGAATGTCTTTGTTTTATTGTCGGCAAATCATTGCAATTTTTTTTGCTTGTGAAAGTAGTACAATACTGTGTGCAATTGGCTGCCACGTTTCGCCCACAAAATACAGTCAATTCACTTTACAGTATAGTCTGTGAAGCGCTTTGAGACGTCTCGAAGATGTGATAAGGCGCTATATCAAAATGCAAAGAATATTATTATTATTATTATAGTACGCCACTATTTTAAAATCTCTGTTTCCAGATACAAACATTTTCTGCGGGATCTAACAGAAAATACCAGCCCGGATAATCCTGAGTTTGTACAGCTTTCAAGTAAGTTTCCTTAATTCGCCTTCCTTACATTTTAAAACTGTAAATTAATTTAATTGTATGTTAATTGAAATGGACTTTGCAGCACACCTAATAGTCCTGTCATAGATGCACTGATCAAAGTAAATGCATATAATTGTAGTTTGACATGCAGGACAATTAATCCTAAATATTAATGTTATCTGTGCTTTCTATTTTTTTTAAAATGACTGAATCAGTTGCAGTAAGGCATGGCGCTATGTTCTATTTTGTCCACAAAATATACAGTCAATTCATTTTACTGTATATTCCGTGAAGCGCTTTGAAACTTCTCGAAGACGCGATACGGGGCTATATCAAATGCAAGGATTATTATTATGATTATTTATTACGGTAGAAATTGAGCCTAACATTTAGTGTATTTAACTGATAACAATAAATGCAATTTAAAATTCATTTTAAAATGTTCGTTGCTGTTGTGTGTTCTATTCTGCAATGTCAGAGGCAGCACAAGCAGTCTCGGATATTTCTCAGTACATTAAAGATCTTGAGAGGAGCCGTGAGAATTACCTGCAGATGGTAAGAGTGCAGAAGTTGTTGAAAGGACAGAGGACCAAGGTGTTGACTCCAGGTTAGTGCTTGTGATCAGCAATTCCTTTTATTATATCGTTTTCTACAAAATCTGATGTGTATATTACCAGAATGTAAAATTGCAGGATCTCAAATGGTTACAATGACTGAATGCCTGTGTTAATAAGGTGCTATAATACAAGCCCTACAATACAAACAATCTCAGATTAAACAGTTTAACTAATTTTGCAGCGTTAACAGTGAACAGTGAAGGCTTGGGCCCAGGCTATTGAAGACGTAAAATATCGGCCCTTTTCACACTTTCTCCTTTTGTTTATCTCCTGAGAGATACCCACATGTGTACAGCACAAAGAGCCTCGTCATGAAAGCAGAGGCCTGTCAACCTCCCCGAGGACCAATTAATGGTGCTCCAAATCTTCTGGGCAGACAGATAAAAAGGATAGAGGGAGAGGCAGAGAAAGATGAATACTCTACCAGTAGAAGCCAGTTTTTTTTTAGATGTTGGTAGGAACTTCTTAAATATTCTTGCCTAACTTCCCTGGGATTTTTTTTCGAGTTTCGATTTTCTTACTCGGTTTAATACCAGCAAAGATAACTAGTTTCTTTGGAGATAAATTTTTATGCCACTGTTTTTCCTCTAGATGCAAATAGGTTAACCAGTTAATATCGGAGAATGGAAGGACGTGACGTGGGTATTTTATGCACTTAAGCATTTCATTGATATTTAGTTTGTTTCAACACTTTTATCTTTGTGTAAAATGGTACTGCTGAGAACTTTGTAGTGCAACCTTTTGCTCTGTCCTTACCCCCTGCAAACTTCACTGCCTTTGAACAGTAGCTGAGTAGCACTTTGAAACCCAAAGTTGAAAGTGCTTGACATGGAAAGGGTAGCATGAAAGTCTTGCTCTTTGAACTTTTTCTTTTCAAAGTCTTGCTTGCAGTACAGGCAGGACAATAATGGACAGGTTCATGTTCCCTCTGTACAGAATAAATCTGCGATAATGAGGATTTGTGTTTCCATTGCAAAAGTATCATTTACGGACTGAAAAAGTCATTTTGAAGAAGCGCTCATTTAAAATCCATTTACCAAAATCCATCATGTTATGAGACTGTATTGAAGAGATTATTTTAGCTGCAGAATATTTCTAAATTTGCAGTCACAATTTTTAAGGGGGAAAAGAAACTTCTTAACTGCACTCGTTTGGCCCCAATTAAATACTTGCACCTCCTCTTCAAGATTAAAATGATTCCTTTGTAGTTATCTTAAAATGTCAATATGTTAAAATGGAAAATTGGTTGACATATTCACCATCTGATCAGCTCACAATATAGTAGTTTTCAAAAATAGAACTTTGAATAAAGGAAAATAAAATCCAATGTAACTAAAAGGAAAGTCAATGAAGTACTTGCTACTTCTCGTTTTGCCAGGTTAGGGTTTCGTCCTTAACTTGAGACGTCCTCCTGACTCTAAACTTGCCTTATAAAGGTAAATGGTGTTGTATGACCATGAATCCTTTGAGCAGATGAGAGTGATTTTGATATTGTGCGTGCTCAGCTAATATTGCTCATTGATATTCTCACTGGCCACTAAGGATATTGATGAATGCAATTCTGGGGCAAAATGTTGATGCCTTCAGGCTACCTGGCAAATTGCATCCATGGCAATGGTTAATAAACCCAATATATGTTGCACAGAAAGGAGGATAAGTGCCTCCTTGACTGTTAACTCTCACTTTATTTTAAACTAAAATAACCTTGTACTGTGACTCGTCAACAGGTCAAACATTTTTAATTTTTCTTGCTGTTTTACACCTATGAGCTACTCCTAATGAAGTCAAGTTAAAAATGAGCAATTGACAATGGATTCACCTTTGATTTGTCTTTTGGATTGAGTTTCTACCGTAAGGAATACGCTAGCAGTAGAATTCTTTTCTTCCTGTGTGGATCTTAAAGATAGAAATTGCAGCCTTACTTTATAAGAAAAAATAACTTGCGTCGTCTTCTGTTTCAACAGGAAGGAAATACATTCGAGAGGGTTGGCTATCTATGGTGCCGGATAAGGGAGAAGATTTGAAACCAAAGATGTTTTTCCTTTTCTCGGATATTCTCCTGTTGGCCAAACCATGTCATCCACTCCACCTCGTACATTCCGACAAGTTTGCTTGCCAAAGAATCTACCCTTTGATAGAATGCACTGTTGATAAAGTCTTTGGACACACGAAGGGCGATGGAGGCCTTCTGAGTGTAAGTATTTCATGTAAAGACATTAAATCCTATTGGGGATACAGTGAAATTATAAGACTACAGACTATCTATCTGGAAGTGTTCACGATGTGCTTTGAATCGGTTCATTTTAAATGTATTGAAACAATCTCATTTAATATTTAGCATCTTGACTGTTTATTTTCTTAAATCCCAATATTTTTGCTGTGTCTAACTGACCATTTTTTTCAGATACAATGCTTGTATGGGATTTAGATTTCGTGCAAATCATGAAACGTGGCTCCATTGACTGACTGGTGGATAAAATGCTGCATGGTTGTAGTACCAAGGCATACTGGCAAGAATGCTTCAGATTATATTCCTAATCTGTGCTGAGTTACCTATTGCAAACTGAGTAACAGTGTTCTAAATTGGCACAGAGGTCAAGGGGGAGATGTTGAGGTTCATCCCAGACTTGTACATTTTCTTAAAATAATCCATAGGTAAATGGATCATTTGCTCCTTCATTGTAATCAAGTACCAATGGAGCTGTCTTACTGCACGCATGCAAAAGTTTATTCAGAAGCACTGACTGGCGATAGCTGTGGCTGGAATTTGTGGACCCCAATTATCTTGTCATAAGGAAGCTGCAGTGTATTAATATTATCTGGCATGTGTGATTTCACATACTTTTATTGTCAAAAATTTATAACACTGTATAGTGGGGTCCTTAGCATATTGATTAGAGCACTTGCCTCGCAAGTGATCGCTTTTCCAGGGATACTAATCCCTTCAAAAAAAATTTTTGCAATAAGAATGATAATTTGGTCACTCAATCCACGACTGTTTGTGGAACGCTGCTGTGTGCAATTGACTGCCATGTCTTCCCCACAAAATATACAGTCAATTCACTTTATAGTATATTCTGTGAAGCGCTTTGAGACGTCTCGAAGATGTAATAAGGCGCTCTATCAAATGCAAGGATTATTATTATTATAACCTACCTGTTCAACCATTGGAGATTATGAATGCTTCAACCTCTGGTCACCTCCCCTTCTCTCTTGCTTGCCGTGCAACGTCACTTCTATACAGCACTCCAAGATTTTATTCTATGTGAAGGGCAGTATTGAAAAGCAAATTATAGTTGTTGTACACACAGTTAATTATTAAATGCATTTTACTTATAAAACCATATACAGATAGTAGATTGATGGAAACTTCTTTGTGATTTCAATAGGAAATTTTATTGCCGAAATTTTAATCCTTAAAATATAAAGAATTTTCGGCTTTCATTGTCATTCGAAGCTCTGAATGCTTAAATGTTATTATGGTAGTTATACGTTCAAGGCTGTCTCTGCCAGTTTTGTCAGACATTTTATTTAAATAGTTAGCTTTCTTTAATAACTCTGGTGGCATTTCATCATCCTATTATCTCGTGAAGCCAAATTCATACAACATAATAGTGCAATAAATGCAATGTTCATTTTTTTCTCATGAAAGCACATTATCAATCTGGATGGTACCTGTAAGCATTGAAAATTGCAGTCAGCACTGTGAGCCTTTCACATCCTTGCCTGAAGAATTAAAGGAAAATTAAATTTGACAGCAGTAAATTCACAGGCACAATCTGCGCTGCAATTTATATGCAAAATGAAATGCTTTATGAAAATATCTTCCACATTCACGTGAAGATTTGAAAGAAAATTCAGTAGACTGTGTGATCCGTAATGTGCTCCCACTTTCATATTATATTGCAGTAGCTGCAGACTGCTTTTGATGTATAAATAATCAAGTTGAATTATGTCCAGTATAAAAGCTGGTGCACTGCCATTCTTATGTTACAATGTAATTTCTACCCCCAGAGAGTCAAATTTCCTTGACAAATTCTTAATTACTGTGTTTCTACAGAAGCTGAATTTATTTGTGCATAAATCTTAAGCATTCCCAGAAGGCAGGCAACTAATATTACCACTAGTTTCACTTGGCCTGTTTGGTGAACTTTCTTAATTAGATAATACATTTGAAATCTTTATTCATTTTTGAGTTCTGCGCTCGCAATGTATTTTTATGGTCAAATGTTTTCAGTAACACAATTCATTTAATTCTGATCTCTGCTGTTATCCTGAATAATGCTGTTGTTTGTTTCTGAACCAGATGAAAGGTAAGAGTCATTCCTTTAACATATACCCCTCTCTTAATTCTCCCTATAGAGTCCAAACCCACATGTATTTGGTTGCAATGTGAGATGCTGTTACCTTCAGACAGGAGTAAATCTTTGAAGCATGTGACATGTCAGCTATAGTTTTTGATGATGCTGGTGTTGCATTCTTTATTAGTTCCGAAAATTTCATATTTTGTAGTTAAAAAGAAGCCGGCAAAGCAATATATTACAGTAAGGTGAGGCACTTTTATGCAAGTGATTCACCAAAATACCTGAGTTGCCTTTGATATAAAGTTCAGAACAATGGGAGAGATTTGAAATGATAAAATGATTAAGAATCAAAGTAAGGGTTTCTTATAACTTTTTTTTTTCTTTCAGCTCACCTTTCCGGGGGAGAAGTTTCTGGTGATGTCAAATGACCAGGAGGATATTAACGACTGGTATCGGTGTATGTCAACTGCCATTGGGTAGGCTCTGTGCCAAGCTGCCTGTCCTTGCTACTGCCACTGACCTTGTAGAGAGCTCCGACAAAGGTCGGAATGGATTCATTGATCAGATAGACCAAGCATATGACAGTCTTTCCCTTAATTGAATCCCAAAAGGGGGCAGACTGGGTTATTATTACAGAGGCCAGCCGATAGTGCTCATTAAAAGCTCCACAGACTGTGTGGTTTACTAATTAGTTTATTATACAGACACCTTGACGATGGGAAAGTTGTCATTTTGCCCTTTAGAGCACAGGGGATGTTGTTAAAAGTTTAATCAGCTGGCACTGACCACCTTCGCTGTGGCTGCAGAATGGTCATTATTGAGGTCACCCCTGGAGAATCTTTACTGACGGGGGTCACAGTTTGAACCCCAAATAGAATAGGCTCTGCAAAAGGTAAGCCAGCCTAACCCTTGTACCTGCAGGAGCCCTGCTGTAAAATGTGCGCCACAAGGGGTAGAGAACGGCAGATTGGTGCAAGCATCGTGTTGAAGTTTTCTCTATCCGCACTGTTAAAGAATACGAAGCAGAAGCATATGTTAGACTTCACTTTGATATCTTCACCAGGAGCCTGGGCAGCTTTGCATTTGCATAAAATGTGCACAATAATTGTCATATTTAAATCAAGCAGCTTCCATTATAAAGATGTTAAATGTTTTTAACCTGTGGAGTACTGAACTTGTGTTTGCTTTACTCAGCTAAGTACAATTTGATGCACAGCATAAATTAGTCCAGTTAAGGTCAGATTTTTCGTGTGCGGGAAAAGGCTTTCTCTATGCAAAATATTTAATTTAAATAATTGGACAGGCTTGCCCTAAGATGAATGCATGCAGCCTCCATGCGTACTTACACACACGTAAACACATGTAGACTTGAGTGCACATAAGGCAAGTTGTGAGACATCTTTTACAGGATCATCATAAAGTTTTTGTAGTTCATATAGGTCCTTCATTAATTATTCTCAATGTGTGTTAATGGAGTAAATCAATAGGGATTAATGTCCTTTTCAAGACACTTCCGAAGAGGAGAAGTCTGATCTTCCCCCTCATACTCTGCCATTCCGTGTGGTGCTTTCATTCTTTTCCCCCATCAGAGGCACCTCATATTGTGAGTGAGAGACTCAGATTATTTAGTGTAAGCAATCACAGCATTAACTTTCCTCCCACGTCCATTTTGCCTCATTGAACAAAGTAGACGTGCTCTCTGGAGAGCTTCCTTTCACACTAACAAATATCCTGTGAAAAAAAAGCATCAAGTGCAGTAAATGCAGATAACTCGGGGGGGGGGGGGGGTTATATAAACAATAGTAAACTTTTCTACTGCTGTAGATTTTGTCTAAATGGTCAACTACTGATCTGTACCTCAACTCCATTTACCCGCCGTTGCTCTATATCCCTCGATATAAAGTACCTGACAAAAATCCTTCCCACTCAGTTTTGAAAATTTCAACTGATCCAACATCCACAGCCTTTTTGGGGGACAGAGTTCCAGAATTCCACTACCAAGGAAGGGTATTTGTTGTACAACGCTAAGGTTTGGTCAGTATAGTGGTGGTATTTGATAATAAAACAGGTTGCGTCTCTTTCATTGATTTTAGCGCCAGGATTGCTGCTATACTCACAAACTGACAGCTTGAAATCTGCTGTGAAAGAGACAATGCCATTGACAAACTATTCGAAGGTCACGTACTGTGAAAAGAGCAGTTGGCTTTCCATTCATTGGCTGACATCTGTCTCACGATAATCAATCGGGGGACATCCTCCTTTAAGAATCAATGCATTGGGATTATCATGAAATGTGCCATGAAGTTTCAAAGTGCCAAGTGAGACATTGCAACAGAGCACTTGATTTTAGTGCTTCTAAATCTGAAGGATAATAATAATAATTGATATAGAGCTTTATCATGGCTTTGAGACGTCTCAAAGCGCATCACAGAATATACTGTAAAGTGAATTGACTGTATATTTTATGGGCGAAACGCAGCAGCCAATTGCGTACACAGGATATTGTGTATACTCATGAGTTTAGCATTTTGCATCTTTTAGACCAAGGACTTTCTTTGCAACCAGACCTATTTAGTGTCTATCTGCAGACTACGATGTAGTTGTGCTTTAAATTTGGTCAGAATAAGTTTACTCTTGGGATGCAAAGGGTAAATTCATGACAGACACCAGGAAACATTTCATTATCCAGAGGGTAATTAATTAAAGAGTTTGAGGGCAGGATGTCGGACTGATCTGAAAAACTGCTTGGTGCAATACAGGGTGAGGATTCTGGTAGGATGAGATTGAATGGATCAATGGTCCTACTTTGTCTGAACCTTTCTTGTGATCTTGTGAAAAAATAGAAGACTCCAAGGGCTGGGAAATGGCTCACGTCGAAGTTGGCTTCAATAAGATCAACATGGTTGACTCAAATTGGCATTCTGTTGTTCAAATTCTTGCAAAGTAAAGAAACATTGAGTCAGGTCAAGAATGCTTCAAATATATTGCATTCAATTAGACATGCACAGCTCTTTGGTTGATCATTTCTCAATCTTAGAATTGAGAATTCCAAATTAAGAGTCAGAATCCAAGTTTTTGCTCTGTGCCGTGGTGTTTAAAGTAAGACTGACAAACTCTATTCACTTGGGACACTAATCCAACATCAGAGATCTTTTATCTTTTTTTTCTCGTGAGCTGGTTTAAGTTTTGGAGGTTCCTGACGATAATTGTGTGAACCAAATGTGGCACTAACCTCCCTGAAATATTAGTTTTAATATTCATAATCGCCTCCTTCGGACCATATTAATTTGCTCTGTGCATGGCGATGAACGGATTTGGAAATATTTATTTTTGAACTCTTTGTTTTAATTTTCCTTGAAATGCCACAGGCAATTAAAAACCCGAAAAACGATCATACTGAGAAAGGATAACCTTGCGAGAAGGCCTCTGCGGTCTGTAGAAACAGCAATACCAGTGAAAGACTGTTCGACAATACCTCAGAGTGCAAGGAAACGAAACCTGGTAAGAATTCAGTTCCATTGTGGTTGAGAAGCATTTTCTAGACATGAAACGGGTAATGTACTGTATGTCTTTAAAGACGCCTTTTTGAGTTTAGTGTGCTACTGAAGAAAATTCACACCAGTGGATGTTCCAGAAGGTGGAATGGCGTAACTTTCCTTGAATCTAGCGACCTTATTGTTTTAAATTATTGACAGAATGAGCTGAGGCGCAGGGAGCAAGATTCACTCACAGACGCCCAACTCTACCGCCACGAGGATGATAGTGTTGCATCAAAGCGAGTCAGACTGATGCAAAGTCCCACTGAGAGGTATTGTAAAGTGTTACTTCATTTGAAAGGGAAACTTTATGCCATTGAATAATGGTCTGTCTTCCTACTTCTCTGAGTACACTCAGACAGTTCTATTGATCTTGGACACAGATATATTCTGGCTGCAAGATAGCGAGGCAGGGCTTTTATTTTTCTTTATTAGATTTGTGAGAGTATGTGGCCGAATTGTATAAAACTACTGGAGTAGCTAATGTTGATGTTTGAATGTTTACGCCTGCTTAAGAATGCATATAATTCCCATAAATTTGTTGAACTTATTAAGGTATAGATTTAATATTAAATTCCTCCATTAATGTTCCTCTGGTTCCTCTGTTTTTCTTTTCTTTTTNATAAGATATACATGTTGTGCATAATTATGATCTACAATTTTAAATTGAACATATTTTAACTTCTAACTTATTTTGATTGAGTGATGTATAAACTGAATGCAGAATCAGAAGTGTAGTTTATGGAATATTACAATGCTATCTATAGCTCAATTGTTTTTTGAGTGCTTGTGAGTCACTTGTGAAATGTACAGATATCTGTATTCCTCAGTTTTGTCCATGTTGTCTATTATGAATAGCCTGATTAGCGATGTCCATACTTTCACGTTTTCATGCGTTCCCTTTGGGCTACTGTTAAGGTAGAATAACGTATTGATTACCGAGATAGAAACAACCTAAACCTCCGTGGACCATTTTGCCACATTTCTAATGTGAAGTTAAGATGATTTGATGCCATCTTGGCATCAAATTGATGCTAAAGTGCAGTATAAATCAGGTTTAAATGTGTGGATGCCATCCTAGAGATACTCCAAAACAAGGAGATGGCTTCCAAATGGAATTGATTGGCTGCTTTACACGCTAGATTCATACTGCAGCAGATTTCAAAAGAATGGTTAAGGTTGCATTATGTCTCATAAAAGTCTTGGTAGATTCATTAGATCTTGCATGGAGAGCTCTACAAGGTGTGAGCTGATCAGTGTCAAAGTTAAATGCAAGTTATCGGATATTCAGAGTAAAATAAAATAGGCGGTTGAGTATTCTATGCATAGGATGAAAACATGCTGGAGGGAAGTTGAAAGAGACCTAAGGTTATTTGTAGCTCGCTATGTCCATACAGTGGCAGGAAGGCTGCAATGAACAAAGCCATTAGGATGTTGAGTAACATTGTTAAATCAGTTAAGTTAAATCCACAGAAGTCACACTGAAGTGTTCTCTGTCAAGCTACGCTTAGAGAAATAGAGCTAGGCCAGGTCACCACAACATAATGGGGCTCTGCAGGCCATAGAGGGAGTACAGAGTACATGTAGGAGTCCTGCAGCTCAGTCGTTAGAGCACTCGCTTTGCAACCGAGAGACCTGAGTTTAATTCCAGGCAGAGGGCGAAACCTTGGGCAAGTTTCCTTACTCCACACAGAGCCTAATAATAATCCCTCCAAAACCAAAAACAATAATAAATTGGTCGTTTTCAATCTACGACTGTTTGTGGGACATTGCTGTGCGCAATTGGCTGCCGCGTTCGCCCACAAATATACAGTCAATTCACTTTACAGTGTGTTCTGTGAAGTGCTTTGGGACGTCCTCCCGACGTGAAAAGCGCTATATCAAATGCAAGGATTATTATTATTATTATTACAGAGGAGAGTATTGAGGCTAATCCGCAGTAAGACTAAATGAGCTGAAGGGCTTTCTTCATTCAAACCTCTCTGGAGATTCGATGGAGGATGTGAGACCTTATTTTGTAAAAAAAAAAAAACATTTGATATTTGTGCAACAGTACTCCATAAACGATTAAAACTGAACTTGTAGATTAAAGTTTTTTTTATATCTATTCAGTAGTAAGTAACGCACTCAGCTAAATACATTGCATTTCACTGGTATTTCCACCGGGTGGCCTCCAAAGCATACAGATGTCCGAAACTAATACTGTACTTTTAAATATGGTAGTGAAACACAGTATAGGTGGATTTTTGCAAATTCATTTCTGTAATGCTTTTTTCTTGATATGATATTATATGGTAATAATAATAATCCTTGTGTTTGATACAGCGCCTTATCAGGTCTTCGAGTCGTCTCAAAGCGCTTCGCAGTAAAGTGAATTGACTGTATATTTTGTGGGTGAAACGCAGCAGCCGATTGCCCACCTCTGGAGCAATTTTTACCACGTATTCACCACACATATTAAATTGTTAAAATGTAAACTATATTTTGCCTTTCCCTTCTGAGCTTGCGACTTTGACCCTTTTGAGCTTTGTGACTATGTCAAGCATATTATTGGACTCAGATCTTATCTATGTCCTTCCCAATGCTGAATTTATTAGTAATATCATTTCCTTACTCTTTTCTTCAGGGTGAATATTCCTAATTTCCTCATACATCAGGTGCCTAATCCCACATATCAATTTGGTCACTGTCCTTGTTCCCGATCCACCACCAGAACGTCTTACTGTAGTGTAGGTGCCAGAACTGCAGGTAGACAATAACATTGACTTGCATTTATACAGCACCCTTCACTTGGGGTAGTGTCTCAGATCGCTTAACAGTGCTGGAACTTGACAAGGAGCCAGGGAGAGAGGAGAGCAGAATGGGACGACTGTTGCATTCTATTCTACAGGTGTAAATTGGGTTTGTTTCAATGATGGTTAGTCTTGGGACTCCAGAACCTTTGCAATTAATGGCAACATAAATAAGCAAATGTGCTTCTCGGGATTTCAACATTATTTTGTGACTTGAGTATTATATAAGTAGTGAAGGGGTTAATTGAATGCGCGGAAACTGAGAGGGGAATGTCAACATATTCAAGCATTCAAGACATACGGTTTACTGGCCGTTAGTTCTATGAACAAGACCCAGCTTGTTTTGATGCCATTTTTCAGCCAATACAATTCTCAATTATGTAATGAGTAAACAAGAAAACCTTCACACATCTCATGTAGGATTGCAATTGCAAAAAATATGAGCAATTGAAATGACTGAAATGATTGGAATCGGTCAAACAACTGAGGGTGCAGCTCAGAGCAAACTCATCAATAATATCAAAGTGAGATATGCACCTTGATTTTGATCCATTAACGCAGGAGAATCATTTTTCATGTTGGATTTAACTTGTTTGCTAAAGAAACCCTCTGACGTTTTGTTTTAGGTATGAAAATGAAGATGAATGTCCCAGCACAGAGCAATCGAGCGGCAGCAAATGTACCATTTTGTAAAAGTCCCGAAGTTCGTGAACAAATAGATTCCGTTTCCCAGATGAAGTGTTTTGCTATATATTTACAGATTTACAGATGCCTTTCATACGATTTTTATATGATTCAATAAAAACAAGCTATTTTTGAATACCGTACATTTAAGGATCAAAAATGTCACATTGTCTTAGACCTCAGATGTGTTTTGTAGTTTAGACCATCATAAAATGTTCCTTTCAAATCTGATGTTCCAGCAGGTTTTAGTACTGAAACTGTATCTGATACTTAGCAGTGGTTTGCAATATGAGGCACCATTCATTCAGCGCCAAGTGAAGTTAGTTTTATTATTGGTTGATTATTATTGGATGTGTTGCCTCCAATAACAAAAGCTGTGTTCTGTTGAAGTGAAAATAGAGAAAGGTGTGTGTAAGGAGGGGCGGGGGGCGGGGCTGGGGGGGGGGTAGAAAATAATGATAGAAGTGGAATGAAACCAAAAGGAGAAACTTTAAATGAAAAAAAACCTTCAAAACTGTAAAAGAGTAAAGGATGTACGTGGCTGAGAAAGCAGTAAGAAAACTAGCTTTATTGGCAAGTCCCCACACTGGTAATTTTGAGGTCAGGAAGGGGAGCGGTTTTTATACACCTTGATTTTTTGGGGGTCAGCCGGGTGTCTATAACACATGCGGAAACCCATCACCGTTGCTTAAGAGTATCCAAAATAAACTCAGAATTCCACGCATCCCAACTACACACGGAAATCCCAGAGAGAGATTGTCGGAATGGAATGCTCTCTCTCTCTCTCTTTCTCGCTCTCTCTCTCCCTCCCCCTGGAGGGATACATCCTGTTTACCTAATTCCGGAAAGTATTAGGTGCGGGTTGGCGAGAGCCAAGGCTTGGGGTGTCCTCAGAGTGTGCATTGGGGTTACTGCTGGAGTCTAACCAGATAAAACCACATAGCTTGCCATTGATATGCATCTTGACTTTGGACCATTAACACAGGAGAATAATTTTTCGTGCTGTATTCACGTATTTGTTGGGTATTATTTTCAGTTACGTGGCAACTATGAAATCTGAAGACTGTTCTCTCATCGATCACTGAATCGTTTATATTAAAACTGCTCAATTTTGTTGGGTACTCGTTTTGATTACATGTTTGAAGGAACACAAAGATTCAAAGCACACTGTTGATGTAAGAACATACTCAGGGATTGTTCACATGCACATCCTGGTCCAACATAGAATTTGTTTTGGCTCTAACCCCTCTTTACTTTCCTTGTGCCCCCCCCCTCCCCCCCACCCCAACCCTATTGTACCTCCAATGAAATAAGTAGCACTAAAGGGAAGAATGGCTTGAGAAGGTTGCCTCTACATGTACGATAAGTGCGGTGTTCCTTGCATCAACCACAATTAGTTTATGAGAATTAATATTGGAAGGATTAGATTTCGATTGACAGTAATTGTTTTTCAAATGGTTTCATCAGCACATCCACAAATATGCAAGGTGGAACTATTTGTTGCAACATTACCCTGATATGACTCTGTGTGTGTGTGTGTGTGTCATATGAAGCATCGCAGCAGTGCCTTGGGTTAAATAAAGCAAATGCAATATTATTGTAGCACAAGCCCCGTTTGCCCAGGGGGAGGTTTAGGCAGAGGTGACCCAGTCTGGCTGTTTCGATTCAGCAGCTCTGTATCTTAGTACAAGAAGGGTATGAGAAATGCCAGGCCATCAGTTTGGGGAGTGGGGAGGGGATTGAATTTGAGCAATAAATTCAGTTTAATTATGTGCAATAAATCCAGTGTAATTGAATAGTGGTTGTATTTGAAGACATTTGCTTTGTGAATGTTTGTGTGCCAATGTTATAATGACAAGATTAGCTGTTGATTGGTTGATGATCTTGACCCAATTATGTGAACAGGTTATAGTGGGAGAACGTGCATTCATCCTGCACTGCTTTTATGAGGAATAACTGATGTATGAAGTGTGCTAAAGGTCGACATTTTCATTCTCTGAACAGCACGAAAACTTAAAAATCTTTTTGTTACCTCATTTTCCCTCAACCAACACTCAGCTCAGCAGAGAAACAAGTCTATCGTTTTGAATTGTTTGAATCCAGTATTACGTAATCCATGTAGTACTCATTATTACAAAATGATGTCTTTATTTAATAAGGGAGGAATCCTTTATCTCCTTGCTGCTAGATAGGTCAAAATTCAATCAGCAAATGAATTCTTAATTGACGCATTAAATTTCTATTTTCCCTACTGATGGTGTGAAACAATTAACAGCCACGAGTTTGTCTAATATTCCCGATTTGATCATTATTATAATAGCTATGTTACATTTGGAATAATGTACGTCAATTTATATAAATATTTACTCATTTTGAAGTATTGTTTGAGTTGCTTAGCACAGAATTTAACAACATGAAAAATCCCTTTTGCGCCCATAATATTGCTGCCTATTAATCTCAAGTACTTGCAAAGATCAGAGGAAAATAAATAGCACAACAAAGATGGAAGGTGAGGTTGCCACACAAAATGTGGTTTTAATGTTTTGAGAATTAGCAATTTTAATCTTTTAGTTTCATAATGGATGTCATAGGAAAATATGTGAGGGGTTACTTTGATTGGTAGATGATTAATTCAGACTTATTGTTGTATTTATAATGCACGGTTGGTGAATCATTCCGACTTTGACGATGATTCTTTTTGTATCAAAACGTCTCAAGGTCTCACACAGCTTGAGGTAGTTACAAGAGCAGAGGGATTTGCACGATCCACATTTATACTCCATGGGCGTGAATCACTCTGGACTTGTTCCCCAGAGGTATGTTCAAGAGAGGGATTTCCGAAGGCCAAGACAAATTGAGCAGACTGTTTATTTTAATGATAAGAGTTGGTTACAGGAATCTTCATTAAAGTTAAAAAAAAGAAAAAAAAATCTCCCCCAATTTTATTTCCAGGCTCACATCAAAAATGATATAGAGCGTGAAAATATAAACCTGGCTCCGTGCCCCACATTGATATCCTGACATTCTTGATAAACTATTTTTGCCCCCAAAATATGTCCCAGTCCCCCAGTCAATTCACTCGACAGTATATTCTGTGAAGTGCTTTGAGACGTCTCGAAGACGTAATAAGGCGCTACATCAAATGCAAGGATTATTATCATTATTATATCATTATTGCTTAGGAATCTGATGCAACATTATTTTTCCAAATTCTAATGACCAATAATAAGAAAAATCCTTGCATTTTATATAGCGCCCTTTCACTTCGTTGAGACGTCTCAAAGCGCTTCACAGAATACATTGTAAATGGGAGTGACTGCATTTTGTGGGCAAAATGCGGCAGCCAATTGTACACAGCAGTGTCCCACAAGCAGTTGTGGATTGAGCGACCCAATTTATTTTTTTGAATGAAGTAGGATGACAGTACTGTTTATTAACTTTATAATTTTTTTCTCTATCATGAAGCTTATGAACAAATGTTGCAGGATTGTTTTTTTTTTCTGTTTGCACTCACTAATTCATCTTCAAGTTACAATTTATATTTTTATTTGAACGCTTGTTCATAAAATCAAGCTATTCGTAACAAAGCGGTCAATTAAAAGGGCTTAGCGTGCAATATTATTTTCTGTCCTTTTGGAATAATAGTTAAGCTGAATACTAAAAGGTTGCATAGAAGTACGTAATACAGTGTGGGTTAACACTTGAAACTTTTTTCCTGGTGAGTGCCTGATTTCTACCTGGCTACCAAGAGTATATACAGGGCAATGAATTTCCACCTCAGTGGGTTAGAGGAAGAATGCAACCCAATTTTGTGGACCTGAAACAACTTGTACAAGAGGTAAACCTAATGACGTGATTGAGGTCTGAAATCCTATCACCATCTTCCCTCTCTCTTATAATAATAATAATCCTTGCGTTTGATACAGCGCCTTATCCCGTCTTCGAGACGTCTCAAAGCGCTTCACAGAATATACTGTAAAGTGAATTGACTGTATATTTTGTGGACGAAACGCGGCAGCCAATTGCGTACAGCAGCGTCCCCACAAACAGCTGTGGATTGAGTGACCAATTTTGGACAAATAATGTTATGTTGAATGCATTTTTGTTTCGTTTTTTAAAATAGAGAAAAATGCATATAGTTTTTTTTTGCTTTTTCAGCATTTCTACTGTTATAATAATAACAATATTATTTCTTAACATAACACAAGTTTTCGATTCACTTTGATATTCCGATTCGCCTCTGTTTTTAAACATTTTGACGATTCATGTTTTATCTGCTTTCATTGTTTCAGAAATGTTACTGGAGTGTAAAAAATTGCCCTTGAACTGGAATATAATGAGCAAAAGTTTTACGTTGATAACAAGAAGTGTTTCCTTTCCGTTTCTTTGTAACCCTTTGTGTATAGACAGTTAAACTACAAACAGCTTCTGCATTTATATTGACTACGTATCTTGATTATTCAATTATGCTCCACTTTTGACTATTGGAAGGCACCAGTGTAGTGTCTTTAAATAAAATTCTCATATTATTTAATTGTTCATGTGGAATTTATTCAATAATAATCATCCTTGCATTTGATGTAGCGCCTTATCACGTCGTTGAGACATCTCAAAGCGCTTCACAGAATTCACTGTAAAGTGAATTGACTATATTTTTGTGGGCAAAACGCAGCAGCCAATTGCGCACAGCATGCTTTTGTCTAACTGGCACACTTATTCTGTTCATTTCTCAGGAAATTAACTCTTGATTTCTGCCAATATATTTTTGGGACCCAAAAGAACCATGCTTCATAAATGCTTCCTAAAGAGAAGCTGTGGAAATTACATTCCCAAGGCCCTGGACGGTCAGTGTTTCTGACCTGAGCTGGGGGTCGGGATTGGGGAGGGTGGAGGGCGGAGAGGGCAAGAATGGTGATTGAAAGCACGGTCAAAGAGGAGGGTCTTGAGATGGGTCTTGAAAGAGGCGAGGGAAGGGGCGAGGCGGAGGGACTGCGGTATGAAGCCCGATGGAATTCTAGAGAGTGGGGACCAAAGTGCTGAAAGCCTGAATGAAGAGCATCCATGTAGGGGAACGTCAAGCAGGTCAATGCCCATTGAGCTGAAGCAGGTCAATGCCCATTGAGCTGAAGCAGGTCAATGCCCATTGAGCTGAAGCAGGTCAATGCCCATTGAGCTGAGGCAGTTCTGGGTTGAGGAAGTTACAGAGGTACAGTGGGGCAACCTGACAGTTACTGTAAAATTCTTTAAGAAGTTCCGAAGTATAGGGTGCGACGAAAATGCGAGAAGATAAGAATTACTAAACGAAAGAAGTCCATCCGATTGACCTTCCACCATCTTGGCAGATGCTTGCACATGTCGTGTCCCAAAATATATACTGTATCCCAAGATATTATTTCCTAAAATAATTGAGTTCTTTCTATCTTATCTCTGGTGTGAAATGATCATGTACCTCTTTCGAATTTCACGGTGACTTTGCATGTTGGAGAGAAGAATATTGTAAAATAATTCAAGAAACCATTACTTTGATTAACTTTATATACATTGTTCCTGTGGAACTCCAGTACTATTTCCATTTTATTGACAGTGAATAGTTAAACAGATATATAAATATAATGGAAACTTAGTTTTTAAGATTCAATGCTCAATATTACAAAAATTGAAACAAATATAGTTAACAGTATATAAATGATGCTTAAATATCCTTCCAGGTAATAGTTACTTTACAACATACAAACTCACCAAATGACAAACAATAATCATTCTTTCTTTGGTTGTGTCAAACCCTTGCACGTAGACTGCAGAGGATTTCAATACTTACTCAAAAGATGTATGGGAAGGTACAATGGTGATGTAGCATAGCAAAGTTAATAATAATCCTTGCATTTGATATAACACCTTATCATGTGTTCGAGACGTTTCAAAGCTCTTCACAGGATACACTGTAAAGTGAATTTACTGTATATTTTGTGGGCGAAACGCGGCAGCCTTGTGCGCACAGCTGTGGCCCACAAACAATCGTGAATTGAGTGACCAAATTATTATTATTTATTTATTGAAGGGATTATTACCCAAGGAAAAGCAATCCGCCAATCGACTGACAACCGGGTTCCTACTTACCGCTGGGCAAACAGAGGCGTGTGGAGTAAGGAAACTTGCTTAACGTTTCGCCCTGCCCGGGAATCGAACCCAGGTCTCTCGCTTGTGAGGCGAGTGCTCTAACCACTGAGCTACAGGGCTCCCAACAAGTTGTTGTAAAGGTGTTTATGACACTGGTAGCGGGGAACCAAATTGGATGTTGGGGGGGGTGGGGGGGGAAGAGGTGACAAAGTGTTTGGATCAATTGAGGTAGGTTACACCAGGACGACACACAAGATGGTGAACTGCTTATCGACAAACAAAACTACCACGTAGGGAATTGAAGGTTCTCTCATGCGGCAGCTGAGAAGTCAGCTGCAAACGATGAGAGGAAAAGAACCGTATGCATCAATCTCTTGTGTTAGAAAGAGTTGTATGCGGAGATAGAAATTTGTCACAGAAAGATACCTCGAGTTGATAATCCTAACAATTCAGTACTAAAATAATGCTGCCAAATCCTTTTAAATAATGTTTTCATCTTGGAAAACTGTTCTCCGAGGAACCTGTCGGTACATTTTACCAATTATACACATGTCATCTTTTAACCAGAGGATTGGGCCCGGACAATTTAAATAGTCTTGAATTAGCCGCAGATTCAGACTTCCTTCTCGCTTTCCTGTTCGAGGCTGAGGCTTGTTTCGAAGCAGCTGTTATCCTTAAAGGTGCACTGTCAAAGGAGTACCGTTTCTGTCCACACGCACCTGTTGACTGAAAGTACACACACACAGTCTATTGATAATTGTTCTCAAGTTAAAGCAGTCTGTTATACTTTTTGGAAAAAAAATCACACTTTTGGAAAGTGTCACACTTTCAACAGCCTTTTGTTTTGTCCGGTGCTGAATTACTTGCTAAACATAGGCATGAAGTCGGTCCAAATGTTAGACATTTCAGTCGCAGAGATTTTCCTTCATACATTTACTTAATGTGGGATTCATAAAACATTAGAAGGGACATAGGCCTTCAAGACACTTTTTCGATGGACCATATAAAGAGTTTCAAAGACTCAAATTAATATTGGGTGAGAAATATAATAATAATAATCTTTGCATTTGATATAGCGCTTTTCACGTCGGGAGGATGTCCCAAATATGAAACAAGAACTGAAGCAAATTTCCCGAATAATGAGAGGAACTAAATCAGGACATATCAGGATTTATACCTAATTTAGGACAGATGAGTAGTCATACCTACAACCTTCATAAACTCGGTATTTCTATTAAAGTATTTATTTTAGTTCTGAAACCGATTGACGTAATGAAGCAAATTAGCCCTGGCTTTAATTCTAAATAGCAGACGAACTGGGGTTTTAAAAATTAAATTCAACTAAATTAAATGTAAATCATTTCTTAAGTAACATGCCGACAATCTTTATTGAAATCGATGGAACACAACAAAATAAGTAGATCAAGAAAAGCAAGTTTAATCATCCGGTAGAGATATCAAATTGGATTGATTTTGGGTGTTTCTGAACTGAATTTAAATTGACCACTTTTTGCGTCTGTGTTATTTATTAGCGGCCTCTCAATGTTGATTAGTGATCAGGAGTTAAATGGTTTAATTTATAAAACAGTACAGATCAGGCTGGCCAACACTCTGCTGGGATTTGAGCTCTGCACTAAGTTGTTAAAGAAGGATCTATTTTGAGAAAAAATAATTATGTGGAAGCAAAACGTATTTATTTTTTAATGTCCCTTTGTGTCAATTCATTCTTGGCCAAAAAAAAGTAATCAGTTCTTAAGTGGGACTCAGCAATTTAAAGCAAGTTGGAAAGTGTATTTAAAATGGTACTGTACTTAGCAACAGCTGGGCAGCTGTGTGGAAAATTACAAGTGGCAGTGTGAACGCATGCGGTCTCAGGTTTAATGGGCCGGTATAATGTGTGCTCGTTTGTGAAAGTGCCAATAAGCCTAACAGGGAGATACTGTCCATTCTCAAGCCTTGAAATCAGTAAACACTGATTTAATGATAATAATAATCCTTACATTTGATATATTGTCTTATCACGTCTTCGTGACGTCTCAAAGTGCTTTACAGAATATACTGTAAAGTGAATTGACTGTATATTTTGTGGACAAGACGCGGCAGTCAATTGCGCACAGCAGCGTCCCACAAACAGGCGTGGATTGAGTGACCAAATTATTTTTACAAAAATGTTTTTACGGATTATTACCCATAGAAAAGCCATCCGCCAATCGACTAACAACCGGGTTAGGGTTATAACTTCTGCCAATAGGTGACACTGGTTCATGAAAACATCTTCAAACATCAAACTAAAAATATGGTTTTAAAATGTAGTTATATTTCTAATCGTCAAATAATTTTAGGGCTAGGGCACCTTTTCGTTTTAAAAGAACTATTATCAATGTTTACAAATGTAATTATACATTTGCAGACATCTATCCTGACTAAATTTCATAGCAAAAGTAGTCTCTGCAGCAAACATAATTTTATTGCAAATTCTGAAGTTTTAAAGTTGCAATAAGAATACCTCTAACATGACATTGTATGGTAGGATGACTGGTTTGATAACTTGCCATAGAACTAAGACGTTTAGATCTATTCTGCTCCCATTCTAAGTCTGTGAGAGTGGGGAGGAATTCTGCTCTTTGATAAACATTATCAAGTTCATTTGTATATTGTCAAAGATCTTCAATAAAACCAATCTTGTGATCTTCATATTTTCAGATGGACAGAAATCAAATATTATTTAGATGCAGCCTAAAATCTGATTGCCTGTTGTTAACAGCCTCACCTTGACTAGACACCCTCATAATGAATACTCACATCAAGTAATTTTCCCTGGAAGGTAATGCCATGTACCCTTTCCTTTAACTGCGAACATACTTACTTTCCCATTCCTAAATTCAATACTTGGCATTTATCTACAATAAACTCCATCCGCCACTCCTTCTGAATTTTTCCAAAGCATCTTGAATGCTAAATCTTCCTTATAATAGTCACCCATCCACATACTAATATCCAATATTCCTTATATTAGGTATAGCAACTTTCATGTCAGAAGTACGTGTCAAAGCATCTCATAGGATTTATTGTGGAATGTATTTGAAGGCAAATTGGGCATCATTTGCACATGTCAATATCTCACAAACAGCCACTTGAATGACCAATTTTACTTGGGGGAATTGTTGGCTATACCTCTTGGTTATTTGTGGGCCATTGCTTTGTGCAAATTAGCTGTTGCCTTCGTCTTCAAATACGGGAGAAATGCATAAAATCATACAAAATCTGTGAAACTCCTGAGAGTTTACATTTACAGACTGAATTCATCCACTTTCAATAGAACTGAATGGTTTACTTGAGGATGCAACAGATAATGTGAGAGAGGTACGAATACTGCAGCAAATGCTTAGAATATCTTAACACTTGAAAGACATCATGAAAACATAGCAAACAAATGGTATGACAAGATTAGGTTCTGCAACATCTAGAGCCATTAAATATGTGACACTTCTCTTTATTAATGTAATCACCTGCAATTGCTTTTCAACATGTTAGGTCAGTATATGATATAAATTTACCTTGAGACAACAATAGGTCTGACAGAGTTTCTCAATCAAACTGAATAGTTTAAACAAGGGTTGCATTAAATGTGTACGGTGGCTGCAAAATAATTCACTGCAGATATTTTTCATGCTACACTTCACGACAGGGAAATATGTGTCTTAATCTGGGCATGAATTTCTCCCTGTTATTCATGGAGGAACATTCTTCCCCAGGTGACTGCTAAATTAATCCCACATTGCAGTCGCTGTCTGCATACACAATGAGGTATAATCATGAGAAAGGCTGATTAGTACACATTAGCAGGCATTTTGTGCCATTTGTTCAGTGCAAAGTGTTTCAGTGCAGAATGCAGTACACATGTGTCTTGCCGCATGTAATTTATTATAATAATCCGTGCCTTTGATGTAGTGCCTTATCACGTTGAAATGTCTCAAAGCACCTCACAGTAATTACTGTGACATCTAGTGACTATGTCTTTACAGGTAACTACAGTAGCTATTTTGCACAAAGCAATAGCTCACAAATAACCAGAAGGTAAATGATCAATTTAACTGGAGGGCATGTGGGCAAACCGCCTTCTCTTTCTGTATTGCATTATTGGTTGTTTAACATCCACCAGAACAGGCAATTGCGATCTAGGTTTAAATGTTGGATCCAAAGGACTGCATCTTTAAGAATCCTCCAACCTTCCACCATACAATTTAGCAGTGATATAATAACATGATGATCTTCCCTGGTCTTTACTGGACATAGCAGGTCAGTCTGAATTATGGCAGCCTAAAACAACAGCAACAACAACTTGCATTTATATTGCGCCCTTCATAAAAGTAAGGACACTGGGCTGGGGGAGAAATAAGAAAACAAGTACTCCATGAAAGGAAGTCTACTATCGAAGTCATATTGTATGTCTATATAATAACAATACTTTCATTTGATATAGTGCCTTATAACATCTTTGAGACGTCTCACAGACTATACTGTAAAGTGAATTGGCTGTATATTGTGTGGGCGAAACATGGCAGCCGATTTGCGCACAGCAATATCCCACAAACAGTCGTGGCCGATTTATTATTGTTATTTTACTATTATATGTGTATGCATGTACATACAAATTCATGCTCTTTTCCTTAATAGGACAGTGTGTAAATGATATCAAACTGCTTACCTTTGCAACAGATGTGGCTAGCTTCTTTGAGCAGATGTTTGTCTCAGGATCTGCTTTTGAAATGGTCAAATTGTCTTTCTCTTCACTGACTCCGTTCTCTTGATCCTGGCCTTCCTCATTCTCCCGACTGATTTCCTGTTTCCATTGCTTCATCATTTCCAATACATTCTTAGGCCGTTCTCTGCTGCTCGGTTCTCCCTAAAGCAATAAAGTATTGTTAAATTTGCTGCTTTACACAATACACATTTATATAGTCCCCGTCATGAAGGCTCGGCATCTCAAAGTGATTAACACAGCTGACTGGGCACCCGAGTTTGAATTGGGCAGTGGAGATATGAACGAAAGTGCTGTCAAAGAGGTACGTCTTGAGATGGACCCTGAACAAGGTGAGAGAGGGAGCGAGTCAGAGGGATTACATCATGCCAACCCACACAAACTCCATTCATTTCTGGAGCAGAATCCCCGGGATCAACTGGAATTCTAACGCGATTCCGTTAAGCTGTCTTTTAAGTCTGCTTAAAGTAATTTGCTGCTGTTGCTGAATCAAATTCAATTGGTAATATGAACAATGTTGTAACGGAATAAATATATTCCAAATGAGACTCGCGTGTGCGAGGCGTTTTGTTCACAAAATACACAGTCACGACACTTTATAATATATTCAGTGAAGCACTTTCAGATGTCTCAAAGACTTGATAATGCGCTATATCAAATGCAACCATTATTATTATTATTATTATTATTATTATTATCCAGATCTAAACTATACAGCTGGAGATGGAGTTGAATATTTACTAAAGCAAACATGTATATCACATGCAACCTGAAAATGGTGAGAGCCAAGCCCTTGGTATTAAGGATGTATCACTATCTAATACGTGTGATTACTGGCAAATGTCAATTGAACATCCTGTAGAATTACAATTAATTGATTGTTTTAAAATAATAATTTATTTGTTATTGCTTACAGTTATCCAATGGTGATCTAGTAGTTCACTAGCTGTCATTCTGTGGGCTGGATCCACTATCAGCAGTCCCTTTAAAACACAGTGAGCTGTAAGAAATAGAAATAATGTGACAAATAAATATAATATACCCATTGTGGTACAGTGTCTTGACAGTGTAATAGCTACAGGCCCACAGCACATCCCTATTAGGAGTCCTGGCAGTTCTGGAGTTGTCTTGTTCTGTATCCTTGAGAGGTCGACGACATTCACTTGTAAGTTTACTTATCATACCTGTGGAGCTAATAAGGTCCCAGAGAAAAAATATCTCAGGTGATGATGATGATGATAATAATAATCATCCTAGCACTTGATATAGCGCTTTATCACATGGTATCACATTGTCGAGAGGTCTCAAAGCATTTTGCATTTTGTGGGACGAGTTTTCATTAAGGTATTTAAAATATAGAAAGGGTAAATCCAGAATATAATCACAGATTAACCAAGAAAGCAAAACAATAGTGAGGGAGAGAATAAAATATGTTTTGGAAGACAAACTATTTCACCTTCTTCATATTATGCGTCCATTTCTGACATCAACATCATTGCTCAATTGCTCAAAAAGCCCTGTATATGAGTATTTGACATTTCAGTTGATTCATAGTGGCAGCAGAGTGGATGTGTTCTTTAAAATGGTTCATGATATCTAACCTCATTAAACGATTGTAAGAGCAACCAACTAAACCTGTGGAATTAGCCTTAAAGAATGCTGAACTCAGGAATAGAAGCCCTGGAAAGAATAAACAGTTTGCCAGGAAGTGTATTCATAATATAGAAAGAAAAAGCACAACAGGTTAGAGAATTCTAACAGGTCCATGATCATTTCCTTGTTCAGGATTTTATGACGTAATGTATTTCATGATCTTACCACTCTCGCTAATGGACTTCAGACAAGAATGAGAAAAATCCAGTTCCCCTTTTCTTATTTCTTCATAAAGTTTTTCCTGAGATTTAGCTGTGAACGGGGCTTGGCCACACAACCTGCAGTACATACAAAGTCAAATAAGAAACACGTCAAAAGTCACTTCACCTTCAGCTCTCGGATTCATCCTGCAATGGGCGGTGGCAGATTGTGATCCAACTCATGCCAGGACATTTCAATTAGAGAACCGACCAAACCATTAACATGGATTAAGTCAACATTTTCTCTTTCTGGCGTGGTTATTTTATAATAATAATAATAATATTAGTAATCATTCTATTTGTCATAGCACTTTAAGTAGGAACCCGGTTGTTGGTCAATTGGCAGATCACTTTCTGGGGGTAATAATCCCTTAAAAATAAATTCTCAACTATTTGCGGGACACTGCTGTGTGCAATTGGCTGTCGCATTTCGTCCACAGAGTATAGTTAATTCACAGTATATTCCGTAAAGCTCTTTGAGACGTCTCAACAACGTGATAAGGCGCTATATCAAATGCACGGAGTATTATTATTAATGATATACCTCACCCCGGTAACATGATTCACCAGATTCCATTCACATTATATCCACTGGAGTGGACATAACATGCAAACAAGCTGAGACCAGCATTATTTTTGGAAGAGGAAGTGAACAGGTCCATCAATTCCAGAGGAATCAGACTACCCTGTTGTTGGGATGTGAATGTGGTGCTGGATTTCTTGCAGTAATTCAGTACCAGATTACTGATAACAAAACAACACCAGGCAAAGAGTTTGGAGATTACTTTGATTCTGAAAAATGAAAGAGTCAGAAACCATTTTGTGCAAACACACTCATAGATAAACACAGCTTTTAACTGCATGGTTAGACCACTCAGAGGTGTCACACGAGTATAATGATTTAATTGTTCATACAGTACTGGATGTCAGTTTCTCTCCTGAATTAATATTGTTTTATGTAGTACACACCTGGAACTAATACACAATCACTCATCCAAACAGGAGTGTTTCCTGAAACACTTCAGAAGAGCCTCCTTTGTGTATATATGGGGGCTCAACAAGATTCCCATGGCAGCTAGCTGACATATTAACAACCAAAACAAAACCTTACGCATTAATTCTTTGAAATGACATGAAACAAGTAGTCTTAAGGGAGGGTGTAGAAGGGCTTACTACTGTGTTGGGAATCCCTTACAACACTACCCTAGGAGTTGTTGCTGATGAAAACCGGTGATAAAACAAAATAAAATAATTATTATAGGAAGATGTGTTCAAATGGAACACTTAATCAATAACTGCCTCTCCAAAGTGTTGCAATAGGTAAATGAAAACAGGGGCCTATGCTGAACTTATGATATTAACCGCAGTCACAATAATAATAATAACCCTTGATATAGCACCTTATCAGGTCTCCGAGACGCCTCAAAGCACTTCACAGAATATACTGTAACGTGTGGTGACTGTGTGTTTTGTGGGCGAAACGCGGCAGCCAATTGCGCACAGTAATGTTCCACAAATAGTCGTGGATTGAGTGACTAAATTATTATTATTATTATATTGTAATATTCAAATTATTTCCAGCATTGCTTAAGGGTCCACTTCATCAAACGCAATATCTTGTGTTCCTGTAATCGCAACCACATCAGTTAACATGTGTCGTTGAGACATTTTGTCTAGCCAGCCGAGTGAGACAAACATAAAACTATCTCTGGTTAGGGGAAGAGTTGGTGCCAAGGGTACTTCCTTTCAATTGGATTTGTTTCACCTTTACAGTTAGTTGGTGCTGGTAACTGTAATTTGTGGGAAGAATGATGGATCAGTACGTAAGACCTAGGTTGGATAATTGGCAAATCAGACCCTGAACTTTCATAGAATAAAAGCATCACTTTTGCGCCCGTTCCTCTATCCATCACTGACAGACCCATTTATTAGCTAAAGTATAATTTTAAAAAGATGAACACTTATTAGAATGAAATTTGACAACGACACTGTGAATTTCACATCAGTACGTATAAGTTTTTGTGAAATAGAACCGTTTGGCTTTTAATTTCTTCTTCTACACATGCCCCAATTAGGCAGTCACTTCGAGTGATAATCGAGCATTAACTTTCATCACTGTAAAAGTATGTTGCAAGAATAAAGTGAGGGCCCATGTAATCATCTAGTCATTCATAATTATTCACAGTACAGGATGCTTTGAATCTATTTCACTTGTGTAAAATAGTTTTTCTTAAGGCTTCTTATTAATTTTCAGAAGCAGTGCACAGTTTTAATATTCGGCGCAGCAGCAGTAACTAAACGAATACGTACAGAGTGTACATAATAATACCAATACTCCAAATGTCACATTGCTGGCTGTAGTCGTAGTTATTCATAATTTCTGGGGCTGGAGAGAGAGAGAGAGAGAGGAATTAAAATTTTCAGTGACGTAACTTTAAAAGAAAAACCATTTTAAAAACAACGTTGATGCAGTTCTTTGATTGCATCTATTTCATCTGAGCAAAGAGGCTGAAGTTTACCCATATACAAAGGTGTGCCACATGTGTCCTGCAGCATTGATTTCCCCCCAACACCAGCGCCATCCCTTAAAACAGATAAGCCGAAGTCAGTCACCTGTGAAGTGAAAAACAAACAACATTTGCGAACATTCACTTTAAAATGTGATAACTAATTCCCTCTCTTTTGCCGCCCTGACTGAGATCAATGCCGAATGGGGAATCAAACTTCCCAGATCTGTGCAGCTATGATTCACATTATGTGGTGGCTTTAGGCACCTTTGGGTAGAGCTCAAGACAAGTATTGATCAAAAATAAATTGATTTATATAGTTTTATGCTACCAGCTTGTGGCAGATGCCAAGACAAAGTTTATTTTGCCAAGTTGTTCAATCTACCACTTATGCCGTTTTCCTGACTTTCTTCATGGCGATGAGAATGACACAGATGCCATTACCTCTCTGTTTAATATTCATGTTGCAAATGCCTGAGGCACTGTAGCACTGAAAATAGCACATTTGCACAAGAACAGAAGCCCCTTAGCTGTACTTATAATCATAACCTTCACCTGCATCTTCTTCAGTGCCCAAGTAGCAATGTCGTTCTGGAGAATTTTGTTTCGGGGATAGACATAAATTTTCCAACAAGAACTTTGCAGATTTCATTGCTCTTATGAGAAATCGAATGAAATTATAATTTGAATCAGCAAATTGTTAACAATTTGATTTGAACCAGAAAGCAACTCACCCCTGCAGTGGCTACTTTAAATATTTAATAACAATAGTAATCTTTGCAATTGTTGTAGCGTGTTATTACATCGTTGAGATATCTCAAAGCGCTTCACAGAATATACTGTGAAGTGTAGTGACCGTGTATTTTGTGGGCGAAACAGGGCAGCCAATTGCGCACAGCAGTGTTCCGCAAACAGTTGTGGATTGAGTGACCACATTTTTTTAAGAGGTTATTACCCCCGGAAAGCCATATGGCAATCAACCAACAACCGAGTTCCTACATACTGCTAGGTAACAGAGGCGTGTGGAGTAAGAAACTTGTCTAAAGTTTTGCCCTGCCAGGGATGTGAACCCGGGTCCTTTGACTCAATACCTTACGGCTGAAATGGCCGAGGACTAGAGCCTGAGTATATTTACTGACCGTATGATTACTCCAACAGTGATTTGGCTACAAGAAAGTGTGAAGCTGAGACGGTGTGAAACAAACAACAGATCACACTCAGATCATGTCTCTTAGTGGCTAAAACAGAAAGCAAGTAAGGATGAAGCCAGATATTGTGCTTCATCACAGTACTCTATATACTGTTAGATAACCAAGGAGGCATCACTTACTTTGATATTTAGTTTTAGGTCATTGTCATCTGCATTATCATTACTTTTCACCAAGATGTTTTCCAGTTTCAGATCTCTGTGTACAATACCTAAGAGTCAAAAGTAAGAAAAATGAAACATTTTTGGACATTCAGAACATTAAGATGAATCCATGATAATGAGGAATTGTAAGGAACTATTTATACATGATCAGACATTGACTTTCAATCTACTATGCGTTCAAATGCTCAGGATCACATTAAATTCTAGGTCTGATTTCGCAAAGCGTTTGTGACGTTAAGCCTGGTACACATCTGGCAAAACTAGGCATTGAGATCAAAAGGCATCACACAGATAAAAAGGAGCCTCTACTCATTTGAACAGGAGACATTTTACCTGTTTGCACGGATACAGTACAGTCATTTCAGACATCGGCATCATTGCACAAATACACGAAAACTCTATGTATGAGTTTTTGACATTTCAGTTGATTTATAGTGGCAACAGAGTGGATTTGTTCTTTAAAATGGTTCAAGATATCTAACCTTATTAATCTATTATAAGAGCAACCAACCAGACATGCGGAAATAGCCTTAAAGATTCACAAGAATGCTGATCTCAGGGGATAGTTAGAACATTTGGAAAAAAAATAAACAGTTTATTCATAATATAGAAAGAAAATATTGATATAAATACTGTAGGTTACTGATATTTAAATGTCACACAGTGGGGTGAAATTTGTGACATTTCATAATGTAGCAAGAGTTCCTTGTGATACATATCACGTTACGGAAATGTCGAAAATATGACCTCTGTATAACAGGAGAATTTCCTGCCTAATAGAATTTACTCGAGCTAAGGGAATGTTTTGCTCTGTGCTTATAACACTATTTATGTGTATGACTTAAACCAACACAAGGTGGTCCCTATAGGTGAAATGAAAAAAAAATACATGGTTCAGAGAGGATTGCGACAGCTTTTAGCGTGTCGTAGCACAGAATTGCTTACCGTTTTTGTGTAGGTAAAATATAGCACTAGCCAAGCTAGAGATGATGTGTTTGGTTTCGGGCTCGTTCAAGTGACCTTTCTTGGCCACAATTCCTTTCAACTCCCCAAGTTCACAGAACTCAATGACAAGGTAGACCTTCTAAACCAACACCCAGAAATGGGCCAAAAGAAAAAGAGAAATTAGCACAAACACTTGAATTATTAGCTGTAGGGGCAGAAAGGGGAGAGAACCAGAAGATGGGCTTCGGGTGAGGGAGGGGGACACGGGAAGAGTTTAAGCAATATTTTTTATGTTTATTTCACTTAGAACCTCTGACATTTTTTATATAAAAATACTAATCTCATGGGTTGATGACAAATGTACAGCCCTAATGATAATAATGTATCACTCAATCTCCTATAAAACAGAAAGCACCCAGAATATTTATTAATCCTCATGTCGCCCTATTCCACCCATGTCTGCCATCCCTCACATATAACTTTCTCCATCCCAGCACAGAAGCCATCATTTCCTGTGTATTATGCACCTACTAATACACAGACAGTAAATTTTTCAGAAACGTTATGATTACTTTAAGGCATTCAACTTTGTAGGCATTATATTAAATGCCTTGAGGCTATATCAAATGCAAGGATAATTATTATTATTATTATTATAAACACAAAGATTATTATGTATTATTATCTCGGTTTAAGAAAATTTCCTATCATCCTCCAATCCTTGTATGTTGCAGTGAGTTGATCAAACTGATTAAAACAATTACGAAAGATGTTCTCCAATTAATGGTTTAATGCACCACTAAACTAGCATGTGCAAATACAGAGCACTCAGTCTCTAGTGACTCAATGAAAAAATATAAGCGGTTTGTTGAAGTTGACTGCTACAGGAGGCTTTCTGTGAGCACACAGGAAAATTACTCCCACAAAAACATTGCCCAATTAAGCTTCATAATCATAGTAGTTACGTTAAGGCTTGATTTGTCAAAGCGAGATTGCTCGGTAAAAAAAAATTGTAATCCAATGTAAATGAAGATAAATGGAGTTGCTTTATACCGGTGTTATTAATTAAAAATACTACAAAAACCTAGACAAACAGTGGGGAGGGCATTCCATCTTTTAAAGGGCGTTTGGAGACAGCTAAGAACAGAATGTTGTACTACGTGACTTAGTACCATTAGTTCTTCAAGCTGAAAATACTGTGCCTCTGTTTAAGAAGACAGATGGGTTTGGTTCAATGTTTAATCATATTTTGTAATGCCGGGCTAGATTAAACCCATTAGCACAAGTGGTTCTATTTTTGAACAATGCTACAATTTAAACTAAGTGATTTGTTTTTGCCCAATAAATGGAATATATTAAATTCTACAATTTATTGGCATTGGGAAAGTTAAGTAATTCAAGCATCTATCTTGCAGGTCCCAAGTTCTGTTTCTGTATAAGTATAAAAGCACCTTATTTATTATTTCAACAGCGATTGTGAAATGTACCAAGATCCAGGGCATTGAAGATAAACGGGTCTTTGTGTTACCAAAAAGGGAAAACACATTATTGTTGGGCACAAGTCAAACAAAATTGTTTCCTCCAGAGATGATAATCTGCAACTACACAATAATGATTACAATAGGCCACAGTTAATATCTATGAAAAATCTCTCTACCTGAAGTAGATAAAGTGTTACACTGAAATACGAGGTATTAAGCAAAGGTGGTTGATAAATTGGGATGGGGTCAGCAACAGTATTTACATTTGAGAAAACTACTGGTAGAATAATAATAATAATGATAATAATAATGCTTGCATTTGATGTAGCGCCTTATCACATCGTTGCGACCTCTCAAAGTGCTTCACAGACTATATTGTAAAGTGGATTGACTGTATTTTGTGGGTATCTCTACCGCATGTGCATACAGAGTTGAGATTGTATTAAATACCAGTAGGATAACACACAAATGAAAATCATGCTACATCAGCAGGTAGCCTCTGCAAATAAATAGTTCAACACACAACAATTTACATTATATACCATGTATCTTCTAATAGGTCAATGATTTGCTGATAAATCTGCATTAACACCATCACAGAGCTACATGTACCTTCTGGGGAATGTCGTTCAACAATAATGACCCATTCACAAAATCCCCTTTAAGAACGTGCTATCAAAGTGTACAGGTCATTAAATAACCTTAAGTTCTCCAGGAAACAAGGATAATGTTCATATGGTTATACAGGCAAGAACGTTTGAGCATCAGCATCAAACATGTTGTTTTTGCAATAAAGAAGACAATGAAAATCCCAGATCAGTATCCTGCCGGGAGGAGGTGAGTGGACTCTACTTGAAGCTGACAGACCAACCAGCTTGGCTCATCAGCAGGACTTGAAGGGATAGACTGGACTCTGGTTGTCAGGATTCTTCTCACTCTGCTCCTGCTAACCCTGCGAGCCAAAGCCATAAGGGGTTGGGTGGTCCAAGCTGGAAGCTTACAAGAAAGTTTCTCTCAATGGTGTTTTAGCTGAATAAAGTCCAGAAGTACTCCAATGTACACTCTGGGATCCCCCAAGCCTTGGCTCTTGCTAATCTGTACCTAATATTGTCCTGAATTAGTAAGCAGGGTGCACCCCTCTAGCGCGAGAGCACACATTCCATTCCAGACATGGTGTCAGCCACTCACTCAGTTAACAAATGCCTAGAATCGTAGAAAGAAGTGCACCAATTGATGTCTTTGCATTCCTGGACAACTTGTTGAAGATTATAAATCGTGCCTCAGTCAGATGGGGTTTGTATACTGTGGTGTCCTTCATTGATGTTGTATTAAGAAATGAACTGCAGTTACCCATTGGCATCAAGGAACAAATCTGTGATGTCTCTGGGTTCTGGCAATCTGGATTCTTACTGATCGAATCCATGACTGACATCAGTTGAGTGCAGATCAAACACTTTCTACCCAACCTGAAGTGTCAAGAATGGAAACACAGAGCACTGCTATAAAACGATTCCTTCAACAGGTAGAAGTTTCTTTTGTATAAACAGTAGCAGTGAAAGAAGAGAAGTGTTTTGTATTGAAATGTACCTCCCTGTAGAGCTCCCTCCACTTTAAACACATGTAACAAACCCCAAACAACAGCTAAATTAATAATAATTGGTATAAATAGCAGAGGACCCTTGCAGCAGATTACTGCATTGGAACAAAAAACACAGTTCAATGTGCTTAATGTAAAAAAGTTTCCCTGTCTGTCCTCCTCTGTTCTCTGGGATTGCTGGGAGAGAGAAGTCCTTCCATTTCTTTATAGCAGATTGCCGAGCCAACAGAAGCGATGATAAAAAAAACATTTGAAGCTTTGCTATCGAGCCTTTGATCACAGAAGTGTCACCCAAGATAAGTAGTCTTGGGGATTCTGGAATAAATATATCAAAACTTGTTTGAAGTAAGGCAAGCACATCTTTCCAGGATTTGAGACATTTAATTGGTCAGTTCCTAGGAGCTATCTGACAGTTGTATATATTAGCAATTCTCTGATGTGTGTTTTCCGCAAACTCCTCTCACTGTATGACTGACGAATGTCATTTTTCACACACTCAAGGTGCAGTTTGATTGCATGTTTTACAGTTCGATGTCCTTGTTAACACAATAGGTGAAATTTTGCCAATGGCTCTGGAAACAAATGAATCTGACCACAACTGAAACAAGAGAGTTAATTGCTCTAATCGCATCCCTCTCTCTTTTAACCATTAATGTGCTGCGTTTTTTTTACACACACCCCTCTCTCTGGAAACTGCTTCCTTTGTTTATTTGCATGGATTGTTCTTCACGTACGCCTACAAATACAGTCACTACACTTTACAGTAAATTCTGTGAAGCATTTCTGATGTCACAGAATACCTCAAGCACCCACGTGAAAGGCGCTCCATCAAATGAGAGGATTATTGTTTCACCCGCAAAATAAACAGTCAATTCACTTTGCGATATATTCTGTGGTGGGCTTTGAGATGACTGTATATATTTTGTGGGCGAAACGCCACAGCCAATTGCACACAGCAGTGTCCCACAAACAGCCGTGGATTGAAGTGACCAAATTATTATTATTTTTTAAGGAATTATTACTTCCGGAAAAGCGATCCACCACATGAATGACAACCGAATCAAAACCAGATCTCTTGCTTGCGAGGCACGTGCTCTGACCACTGAGCTACAGGACTCTACGGGAGTTTATGCACAGTAGTAGACTGCCATTAAATCACAGCTTTCTTTTTTTTCTTCTAAATTAGTACAACCTCTTTATGTAATTCTACATTTTATCTATAATTTATGTGGTTTGGTTTTTCTTTAAAGGAAAGCTTAGATGTGGGTCAAATGAAATTGATTCACTACTGAGAGAGTGATTAATTAGTTACTTTATTTTGTTTCAGGAGAGCTTTGACTTTGAGTAGAAAATAAACTGGTCAATTAGATATAGTCAAACCGGTAAAGTTGGGTTGGCAGATTAGTTCTATTTGCTGAATATTAAAAGATCACTGACTTCCCTAAATGTTGTAATATAGGAAACAAGTTATGAATAAGTCTGTGAAGAGGGTGAACAGATGAATGATCGCAACCATATTTTGCTAAATAGATAAAAGATTCAATTAAGTGACCTGATCACTTCATGATGATCTAAAAGGTTCAAGTTCCTTTTTTTTATAAAAAAGTTGAATTTGTCTAATTAGTAATTAAGACAGTGAATTGAAGGTGCTGCTAAGGATTTGAGTTTGACCTTAAATTGGTCAGCGTTGTTGTGAGTACGATTAGTAGACGGAGACAAATTATTTGCTTCAAATCTGGAAGGACAGCATGGTGATGGAGTTCCGTACATGTCAGACACTTGGCTGACCCCCAAAAAATAAAGTAAGTTTATTGTTGCATTCCACAGAGACATCTTTAATAAATGTAACAGGTTTGACAGAAAATAAAGTGTTTACTCCTCTATACTGAACAACATTGGCCTATTTGCAGTACTTTTCCCTCTCCTGCAGATGCCATTATGTGGGTGAACCACAACCATATGCTATATTTTTTATTTTTATTATTACTATAAGTATTATACAGTTTCATTGGCCATGTTCTCTATTAACGCCTCACAAAAGACACTACTTTTCATGTGTAAACCCAGACATCGAGCAGAGGAAAATTGACGGAAATTTGGAAATATTGCAAGTTAGACCCTAATGACTTATAAGCGTGACTGTGATACAAGGAGAAACAAGGTGTAATAATGTGGTGATAAACTGCAGCATTGATCTCAACACAGTATTTTTGTGTGAGGTAATAAATAGCAACTCATTACCCTTGATGTTTCATAGACTTCCTCTAGTTGAATGATGTGATTGTGGTTCACCATCTTCAGGATAGCGACTTCCCTCTCCAGCATTCGGACTCCAGAGCTTCCAGCCTGGAACAATCACCCAACACAGCAAATGTCATGAGAGACTGACTACGCGACTCAAATGTTCAGAGTAAGCAATGGGCATTTTCATATTTCATAATTCCTGCTCGGAATTCTCCCAAATTTGCATGCTGCAATGAATAATAAAGCAAGTTATCTTGTATCCCTCACCTCACTCCCTCCTTTGCCTCCTTCAAGGCACGTCACAAGACCCTTCTCTTCGACCAAATTCGCTACATAGAGCAAAATTAAATTTCAAATTCTTAACAGCAAGTCTTAATCTGCTCCTCGGTAATACGTGATAGTGCTCAAAACGCATTGCTGCTCCAACACTAGGACTAAATAGCTGAGCAACATTTAAAGCATTTTCCAACATTGTTTGTATGCAACCTTTCAGTTATCATCTGGGACAGTTTTCTACATGCCTGTTTATGCATTGAAATGATTTAGGAAGGTTGCACTAGATTATAGGACTTTGACCAGACTGAAACTTGTGTCTTTTTGAATATATTCAACCCTGCAGCTATTTATCACGAGTGTGATGAGGTCCTGTCTTACATTACTACTAAATAATAATCTTTGCATTTGATCTTTGCGCCTTATCACGTCTTTGAGACATCTTCAAGCTCTTCACAGAAGATACTGCAAAGTGAATTGACTGTATATTTTGTAGACGAAACGCAGCAGCGAATTGCACACAGCAGTGTCCCACAAACAGTCGTGGATTGAATGACCAAACAATTTTTGGGAGGGATTATTACCCTGGTAAACGATCCGACAATCGACTAACAACTGGAGTCCTACCTACCACTCGGTAAACAGAGGCGTGTGGAGTGAGGAAACTTGCCTAAGGTTTCTGGTTATCCATGAATTGAACACGGGTCCTGTTGCTAGTGAGGCGAGTGGCATAACCAATACAGGACTCCACACGTAGCTTACTCAACTCCATCCATTCTCTTTTCATTTCCTCCCAACCTTTCCTCCCTCCAAACTGGCCGAGATTATCGTATTAAGGAAGACAAAATGCCAATGTTTGTTGAGATTGGTGTTCAACCACTGGGTTTTTTTTCTTGGGGTCCAGTACTCAGATATTGTCACCAGTTCACTTCATCTTTAGAAGCAGATTTTAGAATTCTATGATATATTGTACTTAGTTTAGAGAGTTCCAGATTTTGTAAAATAAAGTGTTACCTTTTCCTTGTTCAGTATTTTAATGGCCCATTTTGTACTTGTCGGAATGTGAGTGGCTTGGATAACAACCCCAAAGCTGCCCTTTCCCAGATTTTGTTCAAACTTGTAGAATTGCTAAAAAAAAAAGAGTTATTATTGAGAATAAGCATTGTGCAAACATAATAGCAATAAATAATTTGGCGTATTTAAATAAAAACAAATACATTTTCTACATGTAAAACACACGTTTTCTGCTTTCTACAAGCAAAATTAGACTTTACAGTGAACAAATTTTCTGCTCATTTAATACAGAGCCTTATTACGTTATTCAGATGTCTCGAAGCACTTCACAGAATATACTGTAGGGTGGATTGACTATTATGTGTGCATTATATTGATTAATGTGAAGGATGTCAGTCCAGAAGAATGAAATACTTTCCTTTTTTTTACTGACAATTTCTCCCCACATCACCTCAGCGCGTTGGGAAGTCCTCCCGACGTGAAAGGCGCTCTATAAATGCAATTTCGTTGTTGTTGTTGTTCTTTGAAACCATGTGAGTCATTTTCCTTTCTACTGGTTGCTTCACGACCTGTTGTGTGGGCATCATGTATGAGTGAGTTAGACCAGTCAGCGTTGACAGGATATTCGGCTGCAGGGGGCATTATAACCAAGTGTTACGCTATCCTCACCTGATGTTCACGTTACAAAAGGCAATAAACTCTGGAGCAAGAACTTTGACTGCAAACCTTTTTGTTCTGTACAGCAATCTCTTACACTGGATGGTGCTTTTACTTACCAGGCTATTGAAGGAGTCTTCACTAGGTAAAATAAAAAGTTGCTTTAATGTTCCGTAAACCCATAACCTTTTGGTTAATCGTAAAGAACAATTTGCCATATTCTTTAGAGCACCATCCTATCGTCTGAATAAACCCAAATCAATAGTCTATGCTGACTCCAAGGCAGCAATGGATGTACTAAGATTGTCCCCAGTGCCTTAAAAAAAACTTACATTTGCTATAGCGCCTTATTATGTTTTTAAGTCGTTTCAAAGCGCTTCATAGAACATACTGTAAAGGGAATTCGCTGTATATTTTGTGGGCGAAATCCGGTAGTCAATTGCGCACAGCAGTGTCCAACAAACAGTTGTGGATTGTGTGACCACATTATTATATTTTTATCTTCCTAAGGTTAGGAAGGGGAAAAATCAGGAGCCCACTGAGTATGAATGGATGAAAAATACTTTCTTCTCTTTGTCCAGCCACATACATGAAAAAATAGACAATTAAAAAGGCTCACTGGTGCCTGTGGACTACTGGTTAGAAGTTTTCTGGCAAGAAATTGATGTGGGACTCTCCTTATTTCATGTCATGAACTTTCTCTCCAATGACATCACGGAGAGGAACAGCACTCCCTGTGTCTGCGCACAACCTCATCACGTAATGTCACATCACACGAAAGCAATTTTAATGACCTGTCTTGTACAAGGGAAAATGCAGAAAAATAACTAGCACACATTCGGCATTTGGGAGTCAACTTATCCAAAGCAAATATAAGTGTTCTGCTTTGCATGATAAAAACAAATGACTTTGAAATGTGTCTGGCAACTGCATTACTTGGCAAATCGTGTATCAATTCCTTAAAACGTAGCTTTGAAGATGTTCAACTAAACAAAAGGATGGTTATTAAGAAAGAATGGAAAGAATTATTGTATTATTATTATTATTATGGTCTCAGGATTCAGGTTTTGGAAGTGAAACATGTATGTTGCAGAAAAATTGTGTTATAGAGGTATAATCTCCCAGGGTTTTGGCCCAAGCTCAAATTGTGAAAGGACACACATATGTGACTTCGAACAATGAGGGTTTGGCGATGCTATAGCAACAGCTTGTTTTGATTTCATTGGACTATCACATTTGCAACACATTGCTCACTAAACACATGCTCCAGTGAGCATCTCAATGGTCTCGCCACAGGAAAACAAGCCAACTGACGATTGCAAATAAAAGCAAAGCAAAATAGTTTATTCAGTGCTCTCTCGGTCAACGTAATAATAAGCCTTGCATTTGCCTTATCGCGACGTTGAGATGTCATTGTGGAGTTAATGGATTGTAAAGCACAGCAATTTTTGATCAATTAAAAATAACCCGGTATCCTCTTTGAAGCACTTTGAGACGTCTCGTAGGTGATAAAGCGTTATATCAAATGCAAGGATTATTATTATTACTTGGACCTTTGCATCTTGAATAGAGGATCTGAAGCAGGGGGTGAAAAAGATGCGTGGGAGGTGAGGGGGAGGGAGTGAAGAGGATCCACTCTTAAACACTTCAATATCGGTGTTATTGAAAGCATCATCTCACTTCAATGCAGGATATTGCCGTGAGGATTACTCACCATCTAAAGCGATAATAGTGTGCTCACCTCGCCCCTTCCAAACAGGTCAATGCTCTTTTAATAGGCTATTGATTGTCATGGTCAGATTACAGGAATGTTTTCTCAGTTAGAACATTTGGAGTTGAGCGCACTGAAGAGCAATGTGTCATCTACACATCAGTCACCACAACAAAGTGCTACAAATTAAATCTCCAACTAAATTGCGTGCACCAAGTGAATGGTTTTAAAATTCCTGGCAGTACTTCCTCGCTAGGCGTGTAAACTGGTAGTTCACAATCTAGCTAAAATCTTTACAGTAATCTGCATTACTGAACTCAACAGATAACCTCATTACCTTGATGGTTCAATTATAGCAGAATACCACACCTTTTTTTTATCTAAAATAATGATTTGCAATAAAAGGGCATTATATATGACAGGTGTTACACATGGCATGTACGCTCACTGGGATTTGTCTGGCCAGAGTCACCCAAGGTATTAAAGTGACAAATTTCGGAGGCAATAAATCGATTGATATTTGCAAAAGTGAAAAAAGGACAAAATCTGCCATGTGAATGTGTTACTGTATATCTGTGCAAAACTCCCAAACTGTATAATTCAACGGAGCCTTCACTCATACACTCTTCAAGTTAATACATTACGTTAATTGTATTCACGGTTTTATGGCAAAATAATGGGAACCCTGTAACACACCAGCACAAAGCACTGAAAATCTCACACTGTTTGTACAGATATGTCATTCAGGCCTCTCTACACCTCCAAGGCTGCCAACAATATATTGGTAATAATCCCTTCCCCCCAAAATAAATACTACTAATAATTTGGTCACTCAATCCACAACTGTTTGTGGGACGCTGGTGTGTGCAATTGCCAGCCGTGTTTCGCCTACAAAATACACAGTCACTACACTTTACAGTATACCCTGTGAAGCGCTTTGAAACGCCTCAACATCGTGAAAGGCGCTATATGAAATACAAGGATTATTATTATTGTCTACTATGGACTGAAAGCACGTCATCAAGAACACAGTAACATTCTTTTAGTATTTAATAACATTAACTACAGAAACATAACATACAGTCGTATTAAACTTATTATAATGTCTCTCCCTATCCCCCAGTGAAAACAGCCTGTCTGCACTCACAGATACGAGTAAGTACTTAGGTGCATTTATATGGCGCTCTTCACATGGGGTAGAGTCCCGGAACACTTGACCTCAAGAGAGGAGGGGGGAAAAGGTGCTGGAAGTCATGCCACAAAAGGAACAGTTGTGTCACATTAATAATAATAATCCTTGCATTTGATTTAGCACCTTATCATGTCGTCTCAAAGCGCTTTACAGAATACATTGTAAATTGTGCGCAACACGTCAGCCAATTGTGCACAGCAGAGTCCCACAAACAGTCGTGGATTTAACTCTGTTTCATAAGACGGAAAATATTTTTCAAATCGATCATTTTCAACATTACTGCCTCATATAGCATGAAGGAAATAACGTTCTGCGTTACTGCTTTCAATGTTACGTCAGTCCCTAATATTCCTTTTTTGTCTTTTAGCTGCTTGTTGAGCTAAATTACATCAAGGTGTGATCATGAGTTAAACTAACAGTTTTGCAAGTGAAGCCCACAGCTTACTAAATGCTGCTGATGCAAATATCCCTTTTTTATACCAATGAGTTGCCCATCTAATCTAATTGAAGTCCCTGTTTAATTTTAGATGCTGTTGCATGAGTTGTGTGCACACATTAGCTAGGCACATATCTCATTTAATGAGCCCCTTGTGAAATAAATAAGTAATGAAATCAATCAGATCACCACATCCTTTAATGCCTGCTTTTAAAGATATATGGCTGATTTTTGTTTCAAAAAAAGTGGAGATGAAGTTCTCTTTTGAACGATTTTCACCAAAAATGCTTTTATCTCCGTCCTCTCGTCTCAGAATGTTATCTAATGAGGTTTCATGTCTCCTGCATTGGATTGAAGAAGCGAATTGCAGCACAAGATTACACGCTTGTTAATAATGATAATCCTTGCATTTGATATAACGCTTTACAACATCTTTGAGACGTCCCAAAGCGCATCACTGAACATGCTGTATAGTGACTTGACTGTATATTTTGTGGGTGAAACGTGACAGCTAATTTTGCACACAGTAGTGACCCACAAACCGTTGTGGATTGATTCTTATTATTTTATTTATTTATTTATTTATTTGACGGGACTATTATCCCTGATAAAGCAATCCACCGATTGACTAATAATTGGACTGCTATTTAACGTTAGGTAAACGGAGCCGTGTGGAGCAAGGAAACTTGGCCAACATTTTGCCCTGACCGAGAATTAAAATCCAGGACCTCTTGCTTGCTAGGCGAGAGCTCTAACCACTGAGCTACAGGACTTCCTCGCAAGAAACTAAATAAAGAGGCATTTATTCATCTGCAAACCCTCACAGCATTAGGAACAAAATGGTTGGCCTCTTGTGATCAGTTATTTGCATTCGAACCAGGGAGAGCAAAGCTGTGTCTAATCTAAAATCATTGCACCACCATTTAATGTTTCTCTCCAGTCAAACATTTGCTATGGGCGGTATTTGAATCCAAACTGTAAAACATAATCATAGCGTGTCAAGACATTTTGAATTGGGTTTTGAATACAGCGACTAAGGTGTAGAAATTGAGACAAGTGTTGTTCAGCGGCTACCATTGTTGATCGATTGTTTTTTAATTTGGTGAAATTGACCAGGA